GAATGTGCTCAGCATTTTGGGTCTACATTTAGTAGCTCTATGGCTGCTAAAACAAGTTTCCTTTTTTTTTTTCATTTTTTATAATTTTATTTATTGAATCACCATGAGAGCAGTTACAAAATTTCGGGTAACTGCTTAGCAGTTTCGGGTCTAAGTCTCGGTCATACAATAAAACACCCGTACCTTCACCAGTGTCCATTCTCCACCCCCAACAACCCCAGTACACCCCCATCCCACACCCTCTCCCTACCTGTGGGGCAGATGATTTCCACATTACTCTCTCTCTACTTTGATCACATTCAATATTTTGACACCAGACCCACCATTATTATTTGAGATTTTACCCCAACACTCAGATCTGCTGAAAAGGCAGCAGTAGACAATTTGTTTTCTATTGCTGGTTATGAATAACATATGATGTCACGTGGCTGCAGTAGTGGCCGCGTGATTTTGAAATTCATAAGTTTTAACACTTAAATCTGGAGGGATTTCTGCTAAAACCTGCTGGGTTCCGAGATTTGCTCCCGAGTCTCCGGGATCATGGCCATTAAGCAGCTTGATCAGGAGCCAGAAAGGCCATTCGTGGGCAATGACTTGGGGTCTTGTTGGGGTGGGGAGGACAGGACTGGCTCCACCCCCTCTCATGAGGCCCAAAATGTCTCGTCACTGCGAGCCCAAACCTGACTGTCCAATGGCCTCTGGAGGATGACGGCCACCGAGCCACCAGGGGAAAGCAGGCAGAGGAACAACACCCTTTCCGCCATGGGGTGGCCTGGCGACAGCAACCTACTGCGTGGTCCGGACACATTTCTGCCAAAAGCTGCTGGGTTTTGAGATTTGTTTCTGAGTCTCTGGGATCATGGCTGTTAAGCAGCTTGATCAGGAGCCAGAGGGGCTGTTCGTGGCCGATGACTTGAGGTCTCGTTGGGGTGGGGAGGACAGGACCGACTCCACCCCCATCCTGTGAGGCCCTGCATGTCTCGTCACTGCGGGCCCAAACCTGATTGTCTAGTGGCCTCTGGAGGATGGCGGCCACCAGGCCGCCAGAGGGAACAGGCCAAGGCACAAAACCTATTCCCACCTGGGTTGGCCCAGCACTGGTAACTTACTGCAGGGACCGGATGCATTTCTGCCAAAAGCCGCTGGGTTTCGAGATTTGTTTCTGAGTCTCTGAGATCATGGCTATTAAGCAGTTCAATCAGGAACCAGAGAGGCCATGCCTCCAATTATATAGCTGAGCCGGAGGTGGTTTGTGAGTGTGTTTCCCACATACCTAACTATGGCCATCTACTTTCTTGGTAAACTTTGCCCAAGTTTTTGGGGTCTGGCCAAAGGCACAGCAACAATTTTGGGGTATCTGGAAGTCTGAAGGCACCATCAGGCTGCTGATGCACTTGCCTCACAGGTACAGATTGACCTGCTGGCGGCACCATACCCCCTTAAAAACAAGTTTCTTAACTGAAACAAAGAGATTTTTAACAAAGCTGAGTTAGGGCCACTTGCTGAAATGTGTGGAAAGGACATCTGAGGAACAAGGAGAATGATCTTAGAGGGTTAAGAGTCATAGCCCAGGAGAGCAGTGCTGGTGGACAGCTGAGCAGTGGGCAGAGTCTGTCTGAGATGGGGAGACTGTGCATTAATTCCAACAGTCAAATGTATTTCCACCTGCCCTTTCCTTTTTCCTGTTGTTATTGTGCTGACCAGGGGTGGCATGCATGCTTGGGCATGATGCCTGCACCCTCAGCTACGGTGCTGGCTGGGGGCTTCACTCCTGGCTGAGGTGCTTGAACTGCATTAGTTGGGGTGCTTGAACACCTCTGACCGAGCATCAGACACGTCATTCTCCAATGTGGCACCAGAGATCCCAGACAGCACAGCTCCTGAGCAAGACCTCCTTGATGGTAGTGGGAATGGGGGGAGAGTGTTCAGAGATAACAGGCTGAGTGCTGGGGAAGTGGAGAAAAGACATAAGGTCTACTGAGCATTCCTTCTTTAGTACTACACACATATCATCCATTTTGAGGGGGACTCCCATGTGTTGCTCAAGAAGCCCTCCTGACTATTCTCAGCCAACCAGGTCACTGGCCCAATGCAAGAGCCTGAGGTTGTGGTGCTGCTCGAGCTTTGTGGTGCCATAATTACCCAGATCACCCCAGCGGTTCTCGGGGCCTCCATCCCAGGCTGCACCCTGCAAGGCTGAGGATCTCGTGGAGTTGGACATCAGCCTCGCGCAAGGCATATGCTTGACAACTCTTCTATCTCCCAGCCCTCACATTTCACTGTTTTGTTTGTTTGTTTGTTGGCAGGGGTACAGCCTGCAGAGCTCAGTACTTACTCCTGGCTGGCTCTGTGCTCAGGAATCCCTCATAGTGGTACTGGGGACCCTTTGTGGTTCCAGAGATTGAACCAGAGTAGGCTGTGAGCAAGACCAGCACCTAACCCCCTGTACTCTCTCTCCAGCCTGATGAAACTTTTACAGGGGCCACTCATGGTGGTGCTTGGTCAGTGCCCATAATAATCTGTGCTGCTTGGGGACCACCAGGGCTATACCCAGCAGTGTCGGGAACCAAACTCAGGGCCTTGAGTGAACTTTAGTAAGCTCCCAGGCTCCATAAACATTAAAATCTTTTTAGTAAGTTTAGTATTATGATCTTGGGTTATAGATGGAGAAACTGAGACCAATATTTTAGCAAACATTAATATAGTGCTTCCCATATACGAGGCTCTGCTCTACCTGTTTTACAACTATAATCTCACACTGCTCCAATGGGAGCTAGTGTTGCCTTCACATTTGCAATGAGGAAGCTATGCTAGTGAGCAAAGGCATCCAGGCAGGCTTGGGACCAGTTCTCACGCCAAAGCCTTGCTTTTCTGCTGGTACAATACCTTAATATGTTCTTCAGTTTTCCTCCCACTCAGGATATTCCTCAGTGTTAAACTTCTTATATCTCTGGTTTCTTTTTTTTTGGGGGGGGGATAGGGTCCACAACTATAGGTGCTCAGGGACTATTTGGTTCTGTGCTCACCTGGTGGTGCTCATGGAACCATATGTGGTGCTGGGAACTGGAAGCAGGGTGATAGCAGACACAGCCAACTGCTTTACCTCCTGTACTTTCCTGCTGGCCCTCATGTTTTGGTTTTTAACTACTTAGTCAAATTTTCTTGTAAACCCTTCAGGCCAAAGGAGGTTTATTATTAACATTCCTATTTTTCTCTACTATAAAACTATCTTTAGTATAGGAGATATGGTTGCCTGCTTTATATGCATATAACATTCTGAAATATTTAATTCAGCTCCTTCTCCTAATCTTGTATCTTGCTATTTAATCTGTTTGCCCTGTCTTCCTTGCTTTGTTTTTCCTTCACTTCAGAATGTTGCTGGGAATAATGCCAACATCTCAGTCACCAGGCTAGTGTTCATTATCCATTTGTTGTATTGTTAGACTAATGCAATCTTCTCAGTTTCCATTCTCCTCTTCCATTGGATTACTAAAACTTAGGGAGATTATTACCAAATATTTCAGGGTCTCTCCTTATAGTCTCTACCCCAATTTAGTGCCTGGATGAGGAACTGCGTGTTTGGCCCTGTTTTAGGTAATAGCTAATGAAAAGGTGGAAGCTATTCCTGCCTTTAATGTATTTTTAGGGCTGGAACCATTATACAGTGGATAGGGTTTTGCTTTTCATATGGCCAACTCTGATTTGACCCTGAGCACCATCAGATGTGGTGCACACAAACACTCTCTGTGTGTATTCCTAATGCTAACTAGCACTGGGGATGTAACAATGTCACCCTGTCTGACACTAACACTGGTTACTAATGATACATTCATAACCAGCACCCAAATATTTCTCACATATTTTACAAATTGAAATTTGACATTCTTACCTCTTGAACATCCTTTCTCTAGTTCTCTTATTCTTCAGTCTATCTCTTAACTACACATAATTATTGTCCTTATATTTGCTTTTAAACCTTCAGGAGACTTTGGATATGGCAAGAAAGATAAGCTCAAGATCTTGAATGAAAGGGAATGGGTAAGAGTCACTTCCTGAACAGTAAAAAGGAGCTTAACTGAGAATGCAACAGTTTAAAGTAAGTAGAAGAGAGGTGTTTAAAAGATGAGCCACAGATATGTACTAGAGTTTAGGGGCTTGCCCTGCACAGAGACGACCCTGGCTCTATCCATAAACCACATATGACGCCTGAGGGCAGAGCCAGGAGTAAGTCTTGAGCACAGGAGGAGGGTGTTCCCCCCACCCAGCAAACAAACAACCCCCCCAAAAGCGATGAACGAGAGAAAATAGTGCTGGCTGGTCTTAGAATTGATGCCCGAATTATAGCGCTGAATTAACTTGAATCCTCGTCAGCAACATTTACTGAGCACTTCTTATGTGCCAATCACTTTTCTATTAATGTGTTAGAGTGGTGATACTTGTCAGATTCGACTTTGCAATCCGTCTCGAGGCTGCCCAAAGAGCCACATTTCACCTTCTAGTCTCCCCATCTTTCCAACGTATGGTTGGGGGTTCGGTTTCTGAGAGAGAAGAGTGGAGACAAAAGGGGCATGTGAGCAGAGGGGTGGGAGAGAAGATAAGGCGAACTAACTCCCCCTCACCCCCCCGCCCCGCCACGTCCCAGTGGCCCAGCGCCCAGCCCAAACCCAGGTTGTTCTAGCACGACCCTCCCCCATAGAGGAAGTCTGGGGCCAAATCCACGGTGGGCGACAATGGGTTTGAGACACCCCGGAATCTAAGCGGTCTGGGCGTTACACCACCTCTCCTAACCCCAAGTCTTGCTCCACCGGCCTCTCCAGGAAAGCTAGAGAAAGGAAGGGGCGCGGCTTCCCCGCCCGCGACGCAGAGCGCCACGTCCCCCTTGGCTCAGCCTCCTGCAGCTCGCAACGCCCTGCCCTTCTGTCCTACCAATCAGCACCCGTCTCTCACCAATCAGCGCCCGGTCCTACGCCCCGCGGCCAATTAGCGGCGGCCTGGGGGCGGGGGCCGTCGCCATGGCAGCGAGAAGGCGGGCGCGCGCGGGCCCGGACAGGAGAGAAGTCGGAGCGGTGCGCGCTGGGTGCATTCAGCAGGCGGAGCCCCGCGCGCTAGGTGAGGCAGGTGGGTGCGCATCTGCGCGGCGGAAGGCGGGTGCGGGCGGCTTCTGAGATTAGGCTCAGGTCCCTTGCCTGCCCTGCCGGGCTAGGGCGGAGGGCTGGGGCCGCACTAGTGGGTGGGGGAGACGTATGTGCGATAGGGGGGCTTCCAGCCCGAACATGAGGACTGGGGTTGCTTCCTGGGCTCCACGCGCAGGGGGCACCCGGGCTGGCTTTGGGGATCCATGGGGGGCGGGGAGGGGGCTGGCAGCTTCTGGGCTTGGAGCAGGCGGGGGTGGGGAGAGGACCGAGAGCCGGCGGGGTGCCAAAGCGGCTTTGGGGAGGTTGATGGGTGAAGGAGGTGCCCTGGAGTGAGAGTGGGGAACCCCACTATTCCTGAGCGGGTACTCACGCCTTCCCCGCGCGCCCCTACCGGAGCTAGGCCGGCGAGCCCTGCTCATCTGCCGCTCCCCTTCCACCCACAGCCCCTGACACTTAGGAGAGGAGAAAGTTGGGGTATTGTTTTCTTTCCTTCAGTGGCTGGACCGTTTAGGGGTGAGCCCTTTCAGTTTCAGGATCCGAGAAAGATGGTTTGTGCCTGCCTGGTTTGTGGTAACGCAGCGAGGAAATGTGCTTACCGCTATGGATGATGCTCTCCGTAATCTTGATTGGCAATCATCTTACAGGAGGGTTGTGGGCACTAAAATTGTAGGCACTAATCAATGACATCGATAATGGGCGCTCCTACGGGATAGCAACAGCACGATCGATACCCAGTGGCCTTTTGTTTGGGGATAGGTGGTGAATCTCGATAGACACACCGAATTAATTTTGTGTTATTTAGAATTATTTAAATGACTACTTTCTAAGCACTCTTTTGCTGATGGAGGTATGCAAAAGACGTTTGGAGTCTAAAGTAGGAGCAGAGTCAAGCATGGGGTTTTAAACTGTATCGCACATAATCCCTAATGTAGATAATCTCGTTTTATGAGAATCGAATACTCTATATTTGGCACGGCAGAAGATTAAAATATTTCTAAGTAACTCAAATTCTTGAAAGGGAAAATTAAAAGAGAAGTTTATGTTTGGGCCAGAGAGATAGTACAGGGACCAAGGCTCTGACCTTGTGGGCAATTGACCCGGGTTCCAATGTCCAGCACCAACATATGGTCTCTCAAACACTGCAGGGATCACTTGTGAGCACAGAGCTAGGAATAATCCTTGAACAACATAGGGTGTGTCCCCCTGCCGCCCCCACCCCAGAAAAAAAAGCCCTCAAAATAAATAAATTTTTGTTTAACACAGGGAGTTAGATTGCAGACTTAAAAAATCCTATTCCTGGGTCCCTGGGACAGTTCAAGTGGCCTAGGGTGGGCTCCGCAGGAATCTCCTGAGTGCCACTCCTCCTACCCCAACACCTCCAGGTACAGCCCTAATGGTCCCTTCAGCACCCTACCTTTGCCTTCCTGCGCCCCACCCAGAGTGGCCCTGAGCCTCAGGGCACTGCCCGTGTGCCCATAAAATAAAGCGTGCACACACAAAACAGGCTTCGAACAATTCTAAACAATTTATTCAAGAAAAAGTGTGAATGATTCTCCATCAAAAATTATAAAATGAAGCATGATGTGGTTAAAAAAATGGATTAGAATTTAATGGTTAGGTCCTAATCCTGACCAAATGATTCCAGAAAGTACATTAATTTCCCATGCGTTATAACCTATTAGAAACATATGGTGTGAAACAAACCACCCGAGATCATTTCTTGTGCCCAGATTCTCCAACTTAAAACATTGAAAGCAACCTAATGGAAATTGAAATTGCAGTTGCCTGATTTTATTTTTGGCAGAACTTTGTGACATATCGTGTTTTCATTATCTGACAAATAGTGTGTGCAAATAATGAAACTGATTTTGATAGATTTGTTTATTGAGCGATATAGGTCAACAACAATATCTTCTTTTCATAAATCTATTATCAAGGATATTGTAACTAAATTTTAACACAGGTGGTATAATGTTTTCCTTAATTGGTGTTGCATTCTATAGATATGAATATCAGAGGCATTAAATCTATACTTTTTTGGGGGGTTGTTTTGGTTTTTGAGCTACACATGGTGCTTCGGGCTTATTCTTGGCTCTGGGCTTACTCCTGGCTCTGTGCTCAGGGATCGCTTCTGGTGGGGCTTCAGGGACCATCTGCAGTGTCAGGAATGGAACCTGGGTGGGCCGTGTGCAAGGAAAGACCTTTATACACTGTACTATTTCTCCAGCCCCAGCTGATGGCGTTTTTTGTTTGTGTGCCTGTTTTCAGGGCAGGGGATTGAACCTAGGTCTCAAAGAGATTGAGCCCTCAACAGGACCATATCCCAAGGCCCTATCTATACTCATGTTTTTTAGAGGGAATGATTACAGTCCAAATAAGTTTGTCATACAGCTAAGTTTTTATTTTGCACCCCACTTTCCCATGGACTCTCATTTTCAAAGGGAAAAGTGGATTTGAGCGCTGGTTACCTGTAGCCCTTGTTGCTGCTGCTGCAAAACTCTGAAGCCATTATTTTCCACATCACTCATTTTCAGTTACAATGATGATATTGACAGTACGAGGAGGAAGCCTCCCAGCTTTCCTGACTCAGTGTCTTAGAAAAAGAGACCTGGCTCTCTCACATATTCCCTGTTTTAATGTCACGAGGAGGAGATTGTTACTGGTTTTTTTTTTTTGTTTTTGGTTGTTTTCCTTGGCCTGCCGCTGCTCCAGGAGGTTGGCTGAGGCAATGGTCAGAGGAGAGAGCCTAGTGCAGTCTTAAAAAAAAAAAAAAGATGAAGGTTGAATTCTCGCAGATGCATTTAAAAGTTCTAAACCTCTTGAGTACTTACAGAACATATTTTCATTACTTGAAGAAACAGGGATTTGATTTTCAAGACAGGCGTTTATGTCAAGGAGCATTTACTATTGCCGTGCTCTGTGCTGGTTACATTGGTCACGGTCCTCCCCTTATTCATCGATTTGCTCGAGCAGGCCCAGTAACGTCTCCATCATGAGACTTGTTGTTACTGTGTTTGGCATATTGAATACATCACGGTAGCTTGCCAGGCTCCGCCGTGCGGGCGAGATACTCTCGTTACCTTGCCAGGCTCTCCGAGAGGGGTGGAGGAATCGAACTTGGGTCAGCCATGTTGGCCGCTTATAAGGCAAATGCCCTACCACTGTGCTTATTTATATTTGTCTTTAATCAAAAGATGTATAAAGAAGTGTTAATTAGGTCCTGGTTGGTGGCAAAATTTTGCCTTCCAAACATGAGGCTGAGTTCAGTCCCAGGTGCTGCCACTTGCTTCAATTTCAGTCCTGACAGCTGGGCTGTTTGCATTTCACCCCAGGTGAGCATACTAAAAAGCTGTGTGAGTACTACAGACAGGATAAAACCCCTGATAAGCATGTGTGCAAGCTCTGCCAGTAGAGCATTCGAGGGGCCAGAGAGATAGTACAGTCGGTAAGGTCCTTGCTTTGCATAAGATCCATCCTGAGTTGGATCTCTGGCACCTATATCGTCCCCTGAGCCTGGCCGGGAGTGATTCCTGATGCAAAGCCAGGAGTAACCCCTGAGCACCATGAGTGAGACTCCCAAACAAAACCAAAAAGAGTTTGAGCCCCTGAAAGCACATATACAATAGGGGGAAGGGAAGAGGACTTAAAAAAAAAGTTTTGAGTTCAGTCTTAAAGATAAGAAATTGAAGATCCAGAGAGGCAAGCCGGTTGCCAGCAAATGAGAGCACTTAGTGTTGAAACTACTGTTTATTTTTGACTGCGTTAATAAAAAGCCGTAGCCACAGTCATAATAAAATCCTTTCCAATATATTACTTGTAACTGTTGAATCTCCTCCTTCAATTTTATGTTTAAAACACTTTAGGAAGAAATAAAATATATGTGCTCTTTTTGTTATTGTTTTTGGGCCACCCTGGTGGTGCGCAGGGCTAACTCCTGGCTCTATACTCAGGGATCAGTCCCGGCCAGGCTCAGGGGACCACCTGGGTGCCAGAGATCCAACTTGGGACAGCAGGACTTGGGGGGGCCAAACGTGGTCGACCATAAGCAAGGCAAGTGCCCCGCCAGCTGAACCATCTTTTGGCCCAGAAATACATATAATATTTTCTTTCCTCTCTCCCGTCACACTACTTGAAATAATTGATGATATTTTCTGATGAGTTTGCATGTGATCTAACTGTCTTGTATTAAGTAGTGGGATTTCAAAAAAGAACTTGAGATGATTTTGCTTTATAATTGAGATTGGTTTTTGAAACTACGGCTATGGGTTAGTTAATTTTATTCAACGTTCCACTTTTATTGCTGTTGCGGTCACCAGGGGTTGAACACGCACCTTCTGTGGTGCTTTGACAGATTTATTTGTGATCGCCAGGGGCTGTCCATCCTGCTGTGGCACTTGCGTACTGGACCCAAGTGTACACTGAGGACAGCCTTCCTTTGGTTTGGGGGCTTGCACATGTGCTTGCTTTAGTTGTGTGGTCGTGAGGACTTGCACTCCACATGGTAATTGCATATCTTTAGTGGTGCATGTGTGGTGGCACTGCCCGCCCTTTGTTGTGCTTCTTATACACACCTGGCTACAGTGTAACTGAACATTCCTGAGACTCTAGGGGTCAGAGTTGGCAGAATAGCCAGCATGGTGCTGGATACGTGTTGGTCCTGGAGTGGTTGACCATCAACTTATAAGGAAGATGTCTTAAGACACCGAGCTGTTCCTCTGGGCCCCACAGTTAACTTGGGTTTGGTTTTGCTTTGAGAACTCTGGTGTGTTTATAATTAGAGAATAAAACATTGGTTAATATATTTCTCTCGTGGATACTTCAAAGGTTACACTGATCAGCACTATAGAACCGGGGAACGGCGCCTGTCTTGCCACCCTATCTCACCCCACCCTCCTGCACCCTCAGTGACAAGAGTCTCTTGGAGGGTTGGGAGCTGCCCAGCTCTGAGGGACGAAGGGTTGCAAGATGAGTGGGTGAGGAAATGGCTGCTGGCCTGTTTCCAGTGCCTCTGAAGATCTGGAGGTGCCTCTGGGGAGTCGAGCAGGCTTGTTAAGAAAACCCCATGCAGAGAAATGAGTCAGAAAAAGAGGGACAGACAGAGAATGATTTGTACTGATTTGCAGGATATATATATATATATATATATATATATATAAAACAAAACAAAGCAAAGCCATGAGATAATACCCAAAGACAGTAGGAATGAGAGCCAGGAGGACTGGTCCAGGCTAGGAATCTTGCCACAAGGGTTGGGGTGGGGGTGGGGTGCAGGATAGAAAAGGGACCACGATGACAGTGGTGGTTGGAAGTGATCATTCTGGATAAGAACTGGTAATGAGAGGAAATAAAGTGATATACATGATATCCTCTCAGTATTGCAAACCACAGTGCCTAAAAGAAAAAAAGGAAAGAGAAAAGAGTGCCATAGAGGCAAGCTGGGAATGTGTGTGTGGAGGGTCGCTGGGGGGCACTGGGGACATTGGCCTGGGAAATGTACACTGGTGAAGGATTGCACATAGTAATGTTGTATGACTGAAACCCAATCATAAACAACATTATTACGGTGAGCCAATTAAAAAAACTTTTTAAAAAAGGGGGGAGGAGGAATGACCCCTCTCCCCACAGCCAGATCGATGGTACAGTGACTAGAGCACTAGGGCACTTTCCTTGGATGCGGCTGACCAAGGTTTAATCCTCGGTACACCATAAGGTCCCCTGAGCTCTGCCAGGAGTGACTCCTGCTCACAGAGCCAGGAGTAAGTCCTGAGCAGCGCCATGTGTGGCCCCCAAACAAAAGAAAATCCCTTTACCTACTAGAGACTAGAGAGTAAGGCATGAGGGTTACACTACCGCCAGCACAGACGCCGGACCATCCCGTCCACCAGGCTGGAAAGCTATTCTGTCCTCAGCCTCAGGGTGAGGAACGGTAAGAGGAGTTGGAAGCGTGAAGACTGGCCCAGAGCCTGCCAGGGACCCCGACACCTCTTGGCTGAACTTGGACTTTCTAAAGCCTGGGCAGAAGCTGATGTCCTGACCTGGCAGGGTGCTCAGTGGTGTGTCCCCCCAGTGCAGAGCCTCAGGGCGGGCATTGTTTAGGAGGGAGATGGTTCCCGTGCTGCTGGGGCGGGAAGTGGGGGGCGGGGAGAGATACTGAGCATCCTGTGGCCATGGGACCACTGGTCAGCGGCACATGCGTGGATCAGTCGGGGAGCGGCAGTGTGACCTGGGACCGGGTTGGTCCCAAAGGAGGACGGCAGGCAGAAGCATGTTCAGAGAGGAAGATGCTGCCTGGCAGTGTGCAGGGAAGAGGCGCCCTGTTGCCCGGACCCTGGCAGGTGATGTCTGAGGAGCCACATCCCGGGCTGGGCTCTGAGAAGGTCGACTCTGGTGGAAACGGGGTTCACTGCTCATGCGCGGGCAGTCCAGGGGCTCCCTGTTACCTTCTGCGGATGGGCTAACTTTGCAAAGTGATGGCAAGAGTGAAGGAAGATCCCTGTTAAGGATTTTAAGAATTCCACTTAAGAATTTAGTGGGAAGGGCCGAATAGTGAGCTCCCAGCGCTGGAGAATGGGCTTTGCCTGTGGGATATGGGGTGTCCTCACCCCCCCTCCCATCCCCAGCATCCCTGGGAGCAGCCGTAAAGCACTGCTGCGTGTGCCACCTTACCCCCCAAAAATAATTTAGTGGGAAAACATGAAGTCTTTTTTCTGGAGAGCTCTTCTCTCCAGTCTCTGTACTTGGAGAGTTATCTTCGCAGAGTCAGGGTGGGGTGGGGTGGGGTGGCGGACAGGGATAGAACCCAGGCAACACGTGTGCTCAGCCCTTTGCATCATCTATCTTGCTCAAAAGTAAATTTATCTGAGTTTTTTCTCTTTAAAAAGGGAGCGATGTCATAAAGCTTGTCATAAAGACATTAAATATCAGTGTCTTTATTCTAATGTTTTTAATTAATTATTTAAATTTTTTTATTTTTTTGCTTTTTGGGTCACACCCTACGATGCACAGGGGTTACTCCTGGCTCTGCACTCAGGAATTACTTCTAGCAGTGCCTGGGGGACCATATGGGATGCTGGGAATCGAACCCTGGTTGGCCGCATGCCCTACCCGCCCTGCTTTCGCTCCAGCCCCAGTGTCTTTGTTCTAATCTTTGATTCTATTTAAAATTGTTCTTTCTCCCTCCACACTAGAAGATGCTATTTAGTTTCCTTCGATGTGAAAATTTGGTACTTTTTATAAGATTTAACAAATGCTGGCTGGAGCGATAGCACAGCGGTAGGGCGTTTGCCTTGCACGCAGCCAACATGGCCGACCCGAGTTCGATTCCTTCGCCCCTCTCGGAGAGCCCGGCAAGGTACCGAGAGTATCTCACCCACACGGCAGAGCCTGGCAAGCTACCCGTGATGTATTCATATGCCAAACACAGTAACAACAAAGTCTCCAATGGAGATGTTACTGGGCCCACTCGAGCAAATGGATGAACAACGGGAGGACCGTGACCGTTAACAAATGCATAACAAATATGTATTATTACTACTGCAATAGGGCTAAACTTATGCTTATATTAAATCAATCTTCCTTTCTTTCATGTAGAACCTATTAAGCACCAGTTTTCAGTGAAAAGCATTGCTCTACATGCCAAGACCCACTTCCTCACTAATTTGATTTTGCTCGAGTCATCTTACCTCTCTAGACTGCAGTTGCATCATCTGTAGCAAGGAGATAAAAGTTCTTTATGTGTTTGAAGGTAAGTGATACTCGAGAATTGCATTTGTTTATCTCACCCCCTCCCCCAAAGGGAAAAAAAAAGACAAATATAACAGGGGCCAGAGAGATACAGAGGTTAAGGTACTTGCTCTGTACTTGGCCAACTCAGTTTGATCCCTGGCAGCACAGATGGTTCCCTGAGCCCTGCCAGGAAAAAGCCCTGAGCACTGCTGGGTGTGGCATAAAAGCCCAAAAGAAAACAAAATACCCCAAACCCACAACAGATTGATTGATAGCTTAAACCCAATATTTATTTTCTCATGTAAATAATACTTTTAGTGGACAGTCTGGGATAAACATAGTAGCTTCATAAAGGTTTCAGAGATCTAAATTTTTTTGATGAGCTTGGTGGTGTTCAGTTCTCAGTGCTCCCAAGCAAGGGAGCCCCTTCCTGTGATCCTTGGTCATCTGTGCTCGAAGTTCAGTACACGGGATAAAGGATGTATGTGGTGCTGTTTGCGCCCTGCAGTGCTGGGGATTATCCCAAACACCCTGGTGGCAGTTGGTCCGAAGCATTTGGCCAGCCCAGTTTGATCCCAGGCTGGACCCTGATGCTCAGTACTCAGAGGGCCACATGCAAGGACTTTGTCTTTCTTTTCTTTTCTTTTTTATTTTTTTGGCTTTTTGGGGTCACACCTGGCAATGCACAGGGGTTACTCCTGGCTTTGCACTCAGGAATTAGTCCTGGCGGTGCTCAGGGGACCATATGGGATCTGGGAATCGAACTTGGGTCGGCCTCATGCAAGGCAAACGTCCTACCCGCTGTACTATCGCTCCAGACCCAAGGTCTGTCTTAATCCTTGTACTAATTAGCCTCTAAATAATTGCCCTCCTGATCAGTGATTTTTCTTTTTCTGTGCCATGCCCAGTGATGCTAGGGCTTACTCCTAAATCTGTGCTGAGGGATCAGTCTTGGTGGGCACAGGGGATCTTATGGCATGCTGGGAATTGAACCTGTATCAGTCACATGCAAGACAAGTGCTCTACCCACTGTACTGTCTCCGTGACCCCATCCTCCATGGTTATTGGCTGTGTTCTCCTTAAACAGTGGGCCTGGTCCTTGTAATCCAATAAAGCTGCCAAGCTCTGACCATCACTATCAAGTTGTAGGGAGCAAGGGGAAGGCAGGGGGTGTTCTCTCCCTCTCTGAGAATTTCTTTCAACCAGAAACTCAGGCTACAACAGAAACAGAAATGTGGTTAGAAAGGAAACAAATGTAACTGGATGCTTGGCCTCCCCAAATGAAAACTGACTTTCTGTTACTGAGAAGGCACAACTTCCCTAAGTTCTGGACATGGGCACAAAAAATAGACATATCTGCCTCAGTTCCGATGTTTTTCGTAAAAAAAAAAAAAAACAAATAACCCCCAAACATTCAACCTTATGTTTAGATGCTATGAGAAGAAAGTCTGAGATCTTTAAGCTATTGATATCTGCTCCTAGCCGTGGACATACTCTCATCTAGTAAACTGTGTTTCAGTTTTTACTTTTCCCCCAATGTTTAAAAATATGGAGTATTTCATGAATATGCATACCAATCTTGTGCAAGGGCCATGCTAATCTTCTCTATTGTTCCAGCATTAGCATACGAGCTGCCAAAGTGAGCACTTTTTTTTTTAACTTTCATCTCATGCTTCATTATAGCAGCCTTTCTGCCTTGATTGAGTATTTGTTCTGGTTAGTTTTTAATTGCCTATAAATGCTCAACAGATGTTTATTGCAAATTTATGTGTACATATATATATATATTTCTTTTTTTTTAAAGAACTAGCACTGATTAGACCACTTGCTATAGACAAGGTACTAAAAAGACTGTGATAAATTATTCCAAGGAGACCAGATCATAAAACACGAGGAAGTAAACTTATGTTGAAAAGTATAATCTTTCTCAAAATACACCTGTGAATATTGACACGTAAGGCACATTTTTACCTTTCTTGTAAGTTATTCTCTTTGTTTTGGAGGGGTGCTCACACTCAACTGTGTTCAGGTTTACTCCTAGATCTGTATTCAGGGATCACTCCTGGCTGAGATTGGGGTATACCATATGGGGTGCTGGGGATTGAATGCAGGTTGACCACATGTAAGGCAACCACCCTACCCATTGTACTACTTTTGTTGTTGCTATAGTTGTCTATGGCGTTAGGGATCAACCTAGAACCTCATAAATCAGAAGCATGCGTATGTGCTCTACCTGAATGAACCTAGTGTCTGCATGTGTTTAAATCATTTTACTGTTGTCCTCTGTCTTGAAATTTCCTCTTAGCTACTAACCCTTTTAAATCCTTAGTTATACCAGTATATTGTTTCTTTCTAGACTTCTCTTTGTAAAACTTAATAAAATATACCAAGTGCTTATTATGTGAAATGGTCAGTTGCCACCATTTCTGAAAAAGCAAAAAACCTGAATTGAAAGTGTTGAGAAAAGAAAAAAATTCAGGAAATACAAATTAAAATGGGGAAGAATCAAAAGATGTACTCAGTCCCTTAGGGATTTTAGGAGGCAGAGAAGGAGTAAGTTGAAATTATTATCATATTTCATTCTACAAAGTATAATTGTATTTTTACAAGGTTTTGAATTGTTCACTGAATTGCTAGAACAAAAATTATAGTAATTCTTTGTAATTAGTACCTTATCTTTCTTTTTTTAGTGTAGAACCATTGAACCCACATAAAAAAGGCAATCAGGAGTCTTATGAGTAAAATGTTTCTTACTGTTTTTTAAGAGACATTTTACATTGCAAGCCAGCTAACTGAAAATATTTACTAAATGCCATTTTAAGACCTGAACATTTTTGCTTGGGGTTGGGATGGGAAGAAACTGATGGTGCTTGGGGAATCTCTCCTGATGGAGGGAAATTATTTTGTACCTACTGAAAGCTACTTTGCTTACTTTGTCATTTTGCTCTACCTCTAACAAGTCAAAAATTCCCATTCTCTTGGGGGCTGGAGCCATAGCACAGCGGGTAGGGCGTTTGCCTTGCACGCGGCCGACCTGGGTTTGATTCCCAGCATCCCATATGGTCCTCTGAGCACCGCCAGGAGTAATTCCTGAGTGCATGAGTCAGGAATAACTCCTGTGCATTGCCGGGTGTGACCCAAAAAGCAAAAAAAAAAAAAAAAAAAAAAAATTCCCATTCTCTACCTAGGAATATTTTCTATAAAACAAAATTCCTAATCATATAGAGACACACATAGATGACTTTGATATCTAGATGTCATTTTATCCCAGGCAGGAAAATGATGGATGGTTAAATGATGACATTTACATTGTTCACTTTCAGTTTCATTTTATGTTTACTGACAGTGTTTTGGTAGGTCCATTTAGATCAACACTGGGGATCCTTGTTTCTGCCAAGGGCAGATGTTTATAACATTATACAATATAAGCAGACATGCCGCTAAGTAGCAGCGTATGTGCTTGTCCCCACCTTCCAGCGCCAGACCATGTGATTTCGTGGTTCTTCTAAGATCCACAAGCTGACTATTCTCTACCCTAGTTTAGACATATCTAAATTTCGCTCATATCATTGTAGTTTTGTTTGGGAGCCACACTTAATGGTGCTAGAGCTTCCTCCTGGCTCTGTGCTCAGGGATGATCCCAGCAGTGCTGGGAACCATATGTAGTGCCAAAGATCCAACCAGGGCCCATTGTAGTGCAAGGCAAGCTCCTTAGCCGCAAAGCTATTTTTCCATCTCCTGCTCATACCATTTTTTGTGCATCCATAATGAAATTAGTGGAGGTGATCTTAAGACTTCTTCACAGTCATAGTCTGAGTCTATTCACCAAGTAATTACTTTCTTCCTTCAGAATGGTTAATGTCTGTATTTTCTCATACAACACTGGTCACTCTACTGTGAAGAGAGGAGATACTATCTTTCTCAGAATTTCTTCATTGCTCTTTGCCTAGAATTTTCCTCCAAACCTGACACCTGTTTTGCAAGGCTTGTTGCTAGTGCTTTCCAAGAGACAATGGGATGTTTTCAAATTCACCTTTCCTCAACCCTTTTCCTTTGATGGTTTGTTGACTGAAGCAGAAAGACAATGGTCAAGATAGGACATCAGGAATATCAAGTTGTGTTACTTTTCAGGCAACCTATTCTTTAAACATTCAAATAACTTGAATTCTGAATGTGTCAAGAGTAAAACTACACTTTAGTTTTAAAGGGCTTATGGTTAGTTTAACCAGATTTCAGTCTCCCTTTTGCTCATTCGCTGCCTGCCTTCCTCGCTATGCATATGATAACTTCCTTTGAGAAATTTTTTTGTAGTATGAAATGAAAATGGCAGCAAGTATTAGACCTTGACACTTTGATAGTGTTTTAGTGATTGACTATTTCTAGTCTCATGAAGTGCATCTCTTTAACATCTTCAGCATTAGTTTATCATTTTGACACATGTAAAGGAACATCAGGATTTTGCCAGTTTTTTTGATGGGCACTGAACTCAGCTTTGCTTATTTCCTTAAATTACAAGGAAGTTATGCAATCTTCATTCAGTGCTAGTTGGAACTAACCCACAAATTAATGTTTACCTTCACTATGCATGGGCTCTATATTGTCTGCTTTACTTACTTTCCTTGAAGTTTTTTTTTTCCTTTTTTTTTTTTTTACTAGAGGCAGTTGTCAGTTTTTGCTACCCTCATGGTTTGGCCATTCATAAGAAATCTTGTATCTCAGTAATAAAATATAACAGTTTTTTCAACTTGTGGGTATCTTCCAGTCCAAAGTCAGAATAGAGCACTTAATGGCCTTTTATGAGAAAAATACAAAGTTTTTATTATTCTTTATTTGGGGAGTAGGGAAGGATAGTGGAAGTAAGGGTACGTTCAGCAGTGTTCAGGAATATTCCTGACTGTTCCAGGGGCCTCAGGAGTGATGTCTGGAGGTATTCTGGGGACCATGTGAGTGAGATGCCTTCAACTATCTCTCTGGCCCTGTTATTCTTTAATTTCAGATATTGGCAACACTATTATCAGC